TATATATATATACACTATTATGTACTAGTATTAAAGTCTCATCGTAGTTATTTAAAAAAATCTAAAATAGTTTAATCCAAAAATTAATTTTATGATTAATTATTTATTTTAATGGATGAGCGATTTATAAAAACCATTTGTATTGAATTTAAATAAAAAAAAAGTTTAAAAAACTAAAGGAACTGTTCCATTTAGAATTATTAAGTTTTTGAACCTTTTTTGATTGAATAAGTTGTTGAATTTTTTTTATGTTGAATGATTAAGTCGTTGCATTTTTTTGAATAATTAAATGATTAAGTTTTTTAGAAAATTAGTTACTTAAATTATTTTAACTTAAAAAAAATACTTGTATTGTTGTAGAAGAGGAAGAATCAAAAGATTTTTTGATCATTTTTTTGGGCCCTGCTATTAATATCACTCTTTTTGATCATTTTTTTCGACCTATATATATATTTCATTATATTGTTGTAATAGAGAGAATCGAAAAACAAAAAAATAAAATAAAAAGAGGAAGACCCCTTAGATATAGTTGTTCAAATGCGTCAACATTTGTTAACTTGGATGAAATTAGCTATTAGGAACTAGCGAGACAGTTCTTTTAAAATAAGTGAAATATAATATAAAATAAATTATTTTATATTATATATATATATATATATATATATTCTGTTTTTTATGTTTTATTTGTCTCAATGTTTTTGTTCGATTTTTATAATTATATAATTACAAGAAAAAATAGTAATGTCTATATATGAAAGTAAAAAATATAAAAGAAAAAAAAAACTTAACGTGAATGTAAAATATTTATTTTATTATTAATATTTATATTTTTGAAATAATATAATTAAATATTATAAAATACATACTAAAATACGACATATATACTATAAAAAATACGTTTATTAATAACTAGAACGGTACTTGCGCAATGCAGCGAAATACATCTCAATTTTAATGTTTCGTTTTATTTTGTTCTCCACTCTCTCTGTCGATGTTATAATACGGTTTTATGTGGTTTTGAGAAAAACAATAATGTTTTTATTTTTGAATAAAATATAAATTTAAAGATATCTTAAATTTTTTTAAAAAAATATATTGATATTAGTATCAAATTAACTATTTAAAAAATCTTATTTTGTTGTGTAATTTATTTAATTCAACTTTTTTTTTATTATATTTTAATTTAGGTTTAATAAGAAAATAATTTATTTTTGATTTAATAATATAATTTTTATTCTGTAAGAAGATAATGATTATTCTAATTATATTTTAGATTTTTTGTATTTAAAATGAAATGTTTATCCGGTATTTGATTATGTAACTGTAGTTAGTTACACAAATTCAATTATGAAGTTTTAATAAGTTGTATTTATGCATTATTTATTTGTAATCTTAAATTTTAAGTAATTTACATCAATAAACAATACTTCATGTAAACAAAATAGGTTTTAAGAATTTTTGTCAGATGCTTTATAATATAATATAGATTATATATTAATTAAAATAT